AAGAGCTCGCCATCCTACCGCCAAACTCGACCTACACAGTGCTTACTGCTTTCGTTGCTGGTTTCGTTTTCTCTCGTTCTGTCTTTGTTCCGCCGTTGCTTGAAAACGGAATCAGAACGACCACGGTCCACGATATCGCCGAAGCACCGCTCAGCTCGAGCCCCGTCCTGTCACGTGTCATCTCATCTGGCTCGACCACTAGACACATTCCACAAGAAACCCAGCCCTGAGACCTCAGGACGTCCATCCATCTTTGGCGTGGGAACGCCACGCCTTCCATGGCAAACCCATCGGAACCCAAGAAACCCAGGGCTCCCTGGAGGCAAGCGGGGTGTTTCTCGGCACGGGCTTCCATTGTAGCAAGGCGCGAAGGAACTCCTCTGTCCACGGCGGGCCTGGCCCACAGAAGCAGGTCCCGCGGCGCAGCTCTGAGGAGCAGCCCGACCACGCGAGCACCTCTATTAGCCCAGAAGTGGTCCTTCTGTCGGCGCCTTGACGATGTCCTCCTCTCCTCTCCCCTCAAGTCGGCGGCGAGCGAGGGGGGTGGGAAGTGAGAGGGGGAAGGCCCTCTCAGAAGGCGGCGTGACTCCTCAGAAGCCCTTCGGGGCTCACGCCATCCCGAGACAACCGGCGTCTGCGCGTCAGCTACACGTAATCGGCGGCGAGCGAGGGGGGGAAGTGAGGAGAAGGAAGCCTTCTCAGAAGGCGGCGGGGCTTCTCAGAAGCCCTCTGGACTTCTGAGAAGTTTTCTGCGTCTTCGGGAAAGGCTTAGAAAACTTCTCAGAAGGCTGGGGACTTCCGAGCCTTCTGCGAGGGCCCGCCCCTTCTTACTTCCCCCCCTCGCTCGGCGCCGATCAATGGGGGCGCGGCCGGGAGTGACTGAAGGCGGAACGGGGACAGCGGGGGGGGGGACAGGGTGAGCCCACGCATGACCTCGCGAAGACTATGCTGCATGGGCTTCAGGTGCGGCCACGGATGGCACCTGGTGGTCGCGTGTGACCCGTGACCAAGTGCATGCACGAGGACAAGGCGGCCCCAGAGCGCATCGGCAAACAGAAGACAGCCAACCTTGCGGTCAGCTGGCCGAAGGCTGTGGAGCAGCCCAGGGGGCTATCACTCTGCCTTGCCTTCCCTGGAGATACCGACTGGTCGACCACGCGTGCCGCTGCAAGCCTGGGGGGTCCAGCGCCGGGTAGTGTTTACCTTATACTTTACTTACCTTACGGTGACGGCCCTTGTCTGACGGGGCGGAAGTGAGGACTACTAGATAATACAACCACTGCTCGCCGCGGGAAGCCTCCAGGATTTTCCTCATGCGGATCGGCAATCCCGGAGAGCCAGCGGGTCTTGAAGATGTATCGGGCGTCGCAGCCGTTCCAGATCGTTCCCGAACGCTCTGAAGCGATCTATCCTCATCCCAAGTCTGTCTGACACATGGCCGACTCCTCAAGCCCTGAATAATTTAGCCTGGCGAAGGACCCAACCATATACAGTTGTGAGTGCCACAGTTGTGAGGATCGTCTTCGGTGGAACTCCCTATGGGGCCACAGCGCGTGTGACGGGCGTGCCGATTTGGCGAGGGGTGGGGTGGCGCATGTGAACTCTCCCACTGAGACCTTCGCTGGAGCTCCCTATGTGGCCATGAAACGTGCGAGGGGTGTGCCGAAACGGGCGTGAAGCCCACATGCGAACTGCACCACTGGGACCTTCGGTGGAGCTCCCTGTGGGACCACGAAGCGTGAGGAGTGTGCCGAAACGGGCGTGACGCCCACATGCGAACTGCAGCACTGGAACCTTTGGTGGAGCTCCCTATGGGGCCCCGAAACGTATGAAGGGCGTGCCGAAACGGAAGTGATGACGATGATGGTGATGATAACGGCCGCAATGATGATGATGCTGATGATGATGATGACGATGATGATGATGATGAGGATGATGACGTTGATGATGATGGGTGATGATGAGGATAATGACGTTGATGATGATGGGGGAGATAATGATGAGGATGATGGTGATGATGACTGCAATGCTGTTGATGAGGATGGCGACGACGACGACGACTACAAAGGTAATAGCAACGACGTCGAAGACGACGACGACGTTGATAATGATGATGATGGAGGAAGACGAAGACGACGCTGCTGGTGATGATGATGAACATGATGATGAGCATGATGTTAATTATGATGCTGATGATGGGGATGATGGTAATGGTAATGGTGATGATAGTGAGCATGATGATGCTGAGGCTGCTGATGCTGATTATGGAGATGAAGATGACGATGACGATGCTGATGTTGATGATGCTCATGGTGATGATGATGACGATGGTGATGCTGATGGTGATGCCCATGGTGATTGTGTTGCTGATGCTGATGGTGATGCTGCTGATGATGATGACAACGACAATGATGATGCGATGACGATGACGATGATGCTGGTGATGATGATAATGCTGATGCTGAGAATGCTGATCACAATTGTAATGAAGCTAATAATGATCATGATAGTTTTAATGATAATGATGATGCTGGTGATGATGTTGTTGCTGCTGATGATGATGACGATGGTGATGCTGATGGTGATGCTGGTGGTGATGCTGATGCTGCAGATGATGATAACGACGATGATGATGACGATGACGATGCTGATGATGCTGGTGATGATATGGATGATGATGATGATGACGATGATGATGGTGCTGAGAATGCTGATCATGGCAATGGTAATATTAATGGCAATGGTAATGATGATGACGATGATGACGATGGTGATGATGATGACGATGATGCTGATTATGCTGATTAGTCTGATTATGATGATGATGATGATGTTGATGATGTTGATGATGATGATGATGATGATGATGATGATGATGATGATGGAGGGGAGAGGGGGAGGGAGGAGGAAGAAGTGAGGAATGCGGGGCGCTGTCTTTTCAAAACGAAGATCCGACACCACAGGATGGTTGGGAGAAAACGGTGATGCCCCACATCCACCTCCACCGCCTTCCTCCGGCGGACCCGCCACCGTTATGTTTCCGCTGGCAATCCGAAGGAGGCGGGAAGTCAGCGTCTCGACCCCTTGAAAGCGAAGCCCACCCTAAAGTGCCCCACACGTGCAGCTGCAAGCTACTGTGAAACTGCACCACTACCATCAGGAAGCCTGCACAAGAAACAAACCCAGGTCTGTCCCCCAAAAGTGCCTGAGTGCACGAGGAGCGCCAGATGAGGAACCATGGAACGACCTGGGGAACAACATCATCATCAACATCATCCACATCGTCATCAACAACATCATATCACATCATCAACATCATCAAATCATCACCGCATCATCATTATGATCATCATCATCAGCATCAGCGTCATCGTCATCATCATGGGCATCATCATCATCATCATCATCATCATCATCAGCATCATCATCTTCCGAACCCGCAGCGTCCCTTCCCCTCAGCGCCTTGACTGGAGCTGTGGGTGCTGGAGGCTTGGAAGTGGGCACCAACACTAACACACGGCATTGCCTCCACTGGGGAAAGATGATCTCAGATTCTGTTGGTAGTCATCTCTCGGCCACCTACAGAAGCCCGAACATTACAACCACCGCCGAGATCGGGATCATCTTTCTTCGGTGGACACGCCGCCAACATTGGCGGTGGTGCCAACTTGTCGGCCTCCGACACCTGGGATGCACGCCCTGGACGCCCAGCCACAGACGGCCTCGGCAGGCACTCCAGACCTCGAGCGCCCGCCGACCCGGACCACCGCCGACCTCCCCCCGAACCCGAACTGTGCCTGAAGCCCCCCTCATCGATCCCCGAACCTGTCTTTTTTGGGGGGCAAGCCCCCAAAACGCAGCGAGAAGCGCCGCGGAACACGCCCCCGTAGTCCTGCTGGGGCCCGCTGGGTGCTCTGACGAGAGCGAGGGGGGGCACAACAGCAGCGCCCAGCGCATAGCAGAACAGCGCTCCCGGGAACCCTGGACCCATCCTGAGGGGTCCTGGGCCGCGCTCTGCCCACAATCCGGACGCGGACCTGGCTGTGGCCGCGAGGGCGCCCCAGGACGGCCCCCCGTCCTCGAAGGCCTCCGAAGGGGCTCCTCGGATCGCTTGCTCACGGACCGCCTGCTCCCGGGCAGCGAGAAAAAAAAATGCAACCTCGTGAGAATCGCGATCTGTGATTATCCCGAGGCCCGAAGACCTGCATAAACGCCCGTTGTGGCAAACATGCAGCTCCTGGGTCTGGGTCTCCGGAAACAAAAAACAAAACAAAACAAACGAAGCCAGGGCCAAGATAAGTTCGGGTGAAGAGAAGTCGAGCATCTCTGAAATGTGGCGGCTCTAGAGGATATATCAGGCGCCGCGGCCTTCCCGAAGCGTTCTGGAACGCTCGAGAACGTTCGGTGGCAACTCATGGGGACATCCCATACCATCTTCTCGGCTCTTGCGTATCGACGCTAAATCGAGGCTAATCGACGCTAAACAATGCTAAATCGGCGCTACCTCATCCATCCCCGGGGCGCTAAATCGACGCCCTACAGTCAACCCGTATCATCAGGACGCGCGGCAAGGATGCGAGGGCAGTGGGGGCCCATGTGCACGTTCTTCGAGCGAGGCTGGCTGGCGAAAGTCGCCGAGGATGGGCCGAAGGGGCAAGGATGCCAGAGGGCACCCCTGGAAAGGTTGCCCAACCTTCCCATGCGGTTTGACTGCAATCTTCGTCCTGGCCACGACCGACCGAGGCCCGTGAGCCTGCAGGGGTGCTCAGACCGCCAGCTCTGCAGTCGACTTCACGCAGCAGTGGCCCTGGCTCCGAGTGGCCTCGAGTGCGCGGCTTCCGGGGGGCCGCGGGGGGACCGAGCACGAGCGTCCAAGACGCTACTGCCGCATCGCGTCCGGCGGTGGGGTGACCCCATGTGGGCCCGCACCAGAGGTCACCCTGGCGACAGGCCGCTCCTACGCCCAGCCGGTACAGACCGCGCGCGGGCCCGCCGCGCGCCTCGGCAAAGTGCTCGGCGGCGGACGGTGGGCCGCGCCAGCAGCGCGGGTCGTCCGGAGCGCCCATGCCGGCGGCGGCCTCTCTGCGGGGCGCCGAGGGCGCGTATCGAGGCGCGGAGGGCAACGCACTGACACAAACACACGGACACACAGAGACACAGACACAGTCACACACAAAGACACTTTTACCTGCGCGAGAGGGTCGCCCCGTGGCTAAGGAAGAAAGAGGAGAGCAGCAGGGGAAGGGAGGAGAAGAAGAGGAGAAGGCAGCAGCAAAAGCAGCAGTGCTCAGCCGGGCTGCAGCTTTGTGCAGCCCGGCGCCGCGCACAATCACACACACAGACACACACACACACACATACACGCACACACGCACGGACGCACACGCCCATGCGCAACCACACCCATACCCACACCCGCACCCACACCCGCACCCACACCCACACACGCACCCGCACACACACACACATACACACATTCACCACATAAGCACATACGCACCACACACACACCAGCACGCACACAAACACACACACACAACACACAACACACAGCACACACACAGTACACACACACACACACACGCAGCGCCAGAGGCCACGCGGCCACGCGCGCAGCAACGCGGCGGAGTCAGGTCAGCGGGAGCGGTTAGGGGGTGGTGCGGCGGCCTTGGCAGGGCTCTCGGAGGGCCCAGGTGGGAACGTACAGGGCTCACCCCTAAGGGACCTCGCTGTACAACAACTCACGGGGACACAAACAAACCTTCTCCTCCGACAGGCTGGCGAGGTCCAGCCGGCGATAAAATCATGCGTGAAGCGAGATCCGCCACCTTTCCTTCAGCACGTAGCGGAGTGCCCCAAGGCTCATGCAGTTCTGAGAGGTGGGTCGAGGGGCGTCCTTGTGGAGGCCTCGTGGATCGTCTCCCCAGTCGGTTCAGAGAGGCCCCCGAGACGGTTCCCGACGACGTCCGATGGGCTAGGAACGCCCCAAGACGGCCAATGAGGACCCCGAGAAGCCCCCAAAGGCCCCCAAGAGGCCCCAAAGGCCCCCGAGAAGTCCTCCTCCTCCTCCTCCTCCTCCTCCTCCTCCTCCTCCCTTCCCTACCTACGGTAGTGGAGGTGAAAAATGGGCCCATCAAACCACCCGCCGTTTTGCTTGCCTCGGCGTATGCCGGCCTTCCGCCAGCTTCGGCCGCCGAAGGCAGGAGGATCGAGGCACCAGAGAGGCGTGCGGCCCCCTTGTGAATCCGGCGCTGGCCCAGGCCAGCCGCGCCATGCGTACCCAGTACAGTCGAGGCGTTGACCTAAGGAACCATAAATAAGGAACGAGGCCCCTTTTCTCCATAAGTTGAACTTCGATTTCCTATCGAAAACATAAAGGAAACCTGAGGCAAGCTGTGAAACACTTAAGGAACGCGGAGCCCCTCCCCAACGAAAAGGGTTCCTTCTTCAGGGCCCCGACTGTAAGACGAAGGCAGCATCGAGACAGAATCGGGTGTAAATCGGAGATCTCTGAGCATCTGGAGCTTAGAGGACGCATGGGGCGCCGCGGTCGTTTCGGAGCGTGCTGGAACGCTCCGAGAATGTTCCGGAGCGCCCTGGACCGATTCATCTCGATTCGAGGCCTACCGGATCCAGCCACCTGGCACATCCGACGGGAGGCGGGGTAATTTCGGCGAGGCGAAAAACTTGCCCCGCTCCCAGACCCCGACGTCACGATTTTTGTTCGTAGCGCCGACCCCCAGAGGTCTCGACCCATTCCCCGGGACCGGTTCTTCATCCCGAGCCGTTTTTTGACAGTCCCGAGGCCCAGCAAGGGGCCCCAGAGGCCGAAAATGCAGAAAAGCCTCCCGTCGTGAGTTTTTCACGACTCGATGGGGTTCTGGGCTCGGGATGCCCGATGGGGGTGGCGCCCATCCTCGATGAGGGGTGCGTCCGAGCAGCCCCCAAGGGGATAAATATCCCCGAGCCGCCCCTCTCGCTTGACGCGGCCTGACCTCGTGGGGGGATTTCTTTCTTGAGAGCGGATTGAGCAGGGACCGACCGTCCCGGCATTCCAATAGGTCTAGCAGAAGTTTTCTCCAGAACAAAACAATGGTCTAAAAGCTCTCTAGGAAGGAGGAAGGTTCCCAACACCAAACATTGTTCTCAGACCATACAGCCGATGTACGAAAGCCAGACGGCCTTGGTCAGAAACAGTCCAAGAACACCCCCCAGAAACCACACACGCGTCTGCGAACATCCCTTGGTGGGCCGACTCGCGCGAGCCAGGACGCCTCGCCACTGCATGGGCGAAGGCCCCCCCAAAAAGTCCTGGCTTTCACCCGGACGCCGACCCGAGGAGGAGGAGGAGGAGGAGGAGGAGGAGGAGGAGGAGGAGGAGGAGGAGGAGGAGGAGGAGGAGGAGGAGGAGGAGGAGGAGGAGGAGCAGCGCACTGGGGGAGGTCGCCCTCGACTCCGAGGTGCCACCTCTGCCCCGATCCGACGCCTCTGCTCGCGCGGGCGCGGCGCCGGAGGCTCGGAGGCCTCGGACAGCTGGCGGGCCGCGGAGGCCCTGGGCCCACGCGGAGCAGAACAACGGGCTCGTGTCCGCCGGCGCTGGCGCGGAAGCTGCCCGCGCGAGGTCGCGCGCAAGCGCCCGCTGCCAGTGTGGCGTGCCGCGCGAGCGGTTCGCGTACGCCGCGGCGTGAGGTCGCTATGCCACCTCGCGTGAGGCCCGCTTCTCGACGCCATGTTCTGCGTCCAAGTCGGCGCCACCGTCGTCGTCGCCGTCACCGTCACCGCCACCATCACCGTCGCCGTCGTCGCCGTCGTCGTCGTCGCCGTCGATGTCGCCGTCGTCGCCGTCGTCGTCGTCGTCGCCGTCGTCGCCGCCGTCGTCGTCGTCGTCGCCGCCGTCGTCGTCGTCGTCGTCGTCGTCGTCGTCGTCGTCGCCCCGCGCGGGAGGCTTCGGCTGGGTGCGGGGCACGTCGATCCCTCCAGACGGCCTCACCCCGAGCCGTTCTGTGGACGGCCCCGAGGCCCAGCAAGGGACCCGAAGGCCCCAGAGGAGGAGGAGGAGGAGGAGGAGGAGGAGGAGGAGGAGGAGGAGGAGGAGGAGGTCCTGGAGGAGGAGGAGGAGGAGGAGGAGGAGGAGGAGGAGGAGGAGGAGGAGGAGGAGGGGCCCCAGAGGCCGAAGAGGCAGAAACACCTCCCGCCGCCCTCTCTTGGCCTTGGCGTGAGGCCCCTCCTTCTGTTTTCCTCCCTCTGTAATTAAAGCTGTGTGCGGCCCGCTTAGCTTCGACCGGAAGAGGCTCGCTCTCGACCCGCGGATCAAAAAAAGTTGTTGTTCATGCCTCAAGGGGGTCTCTCTCCCTCTCCTCCTCCTTCTCCTCCTCCTCCTCCTCCTGCCCCTGGGCCTTTCGATCCTCGAGAGCGAGCGCCCTGTCTGCAGCGCACCACCCGGCGCCGCGCCCCCCCCGCGCGGGTGGGTACCCGCCCGCCCACGGGCCGCCTGCCGCATGGACTGCCCCATCAGCCGGGCCCTCTGCAGCGTGGCGGCCCGGATGAGCGTGGCCAGGCGCGACGGGCGCCCCTGGGCGGGGAGCCCACGCAAGGGACGCACGCGCCGAAACCACGTTGATGAGCACGGCCCCCCCGGCCGCGAGACCGGTCGCGCGATACGAACGCTCGTGCACTGCGTCCTCTCGAAACCTGGGTGGCTTCATGCACGTTTGCGTCCTCCGTGCGCTCTCGACTGGGGCGCGGCCTGGCCGGGGCAAGCCTCCCTCCCCTGAGGTCAGGTCTGAGAGTCCCCGGGTGGGGCCGAGGCGCCGCCGTACCCGGGAGGTGGGCGCCATCGGCGCGCGCGCAGGCCCGAGCTCAAGGAGGGCGCAAGCCCCCAGAGGTCCCCAGAGGCCTCCAGGGGCCCCCAGAGCGCTTTTGGCTCCAGGCCGCTCACAGCGCGCAAGGCTCCCCGATTCCTCTGGGCTGTCGGGTAGCTCCCGGCAGGTGGGCAAAACTGAAGGGGCCCAGGGACACACACACACACACACACACACACACACACACACACACACACACACACACACACACACACACAGAAATAGACACGAACCCCAGGACCCCCACCTTTGCCCATGCTTTCTGGCCTGTCGTCTTCCCCGCCACTGCCCATACACGTCGGTCGGAAGAAATAAGTAATACATGAAGTAAGAAGGCGGACAAAGTAGATTGGCTCCAGGCCCTCCCAGAGAATAAAAGCACACATCAAGACCATTCCGATTCTTGAAGTAGGAAGGCGCTAGAAGTAGATTGGGATCTGGGAGTCCAAGAATACCTACTTTCAACGACCGGCGCGTATGTTCCCTGTCTTCCTGGGAACCGACGGTCCTCGGTGCCAGAGAGCAGCACTGCAGCTGGCGCTGGCCGACAAGAAGAAGCAGCGCGCTCGCACCTCGGGGGCGGCCTCCAGAGGCCGAGGCCAAAGCAGGCCCCTGGGCCGTCGAGCCTCGGGCCCGAGCCTCCTGTCGGCGGCGAGCGAGGGGGGGGGAGGAGAAGGAGATAGTGGGCCCCATGCGAACCCTACCCCTACCCCCCTCAGAAATCGTGAAGTGAACCCCACCCTCCCCCTCAGAAATCGTGGGGGGTAGGGGTAGGGTTCGCATGTGGCCCCCTCACAAAAGAATGAAGAACGCCATAAACCTTGACTTTCGGAGCGCCTGGATCTGCGCTAGACACCCGTCCCTGGCGCGCGGAGCGCGATAGGGGCGGCGCCGGAGGCGCCGCCGGGGGGGCCCAAAGGTCCCAGGTCCCATGCGCAACTCCAGGTCCTGGATTGACTAAACGAACGGTACGGATACCATCATTCCCTGGATTTTCTCCCGGGGGTGCGTTCTGACAAAGCTTTCGAGGCGAAGCCAGCGGTGGCGACGAGGGTCTCCCAGGACGCCCCGAAATGGGAAAACGACAAAAGGGTCGCCAGTCGGAAGAAGTGGGTGGAAGCAAGAAGTGGGAGGGCGGATAAAAGCACATCGGGTTCGGGCCCGCCGCCCAGAGAAGAACAGACAACATCAAACACATGCCGATGATTGAAGTAGGAAGGCGCTTGAAGTAGACTGCATCCCGGGAACCCACGACATCTACATCCAACGAGCGGCGCGCACAGTGGAGGCCAGGCCACAGGAAACCTCCCACGAGAAACCCAGCCCTGAGACCCCAGGACGTCCCAGGGATTTTTGGTGTGGGAGCGTCGCGCTCTCCACAGCAGAGCCACCGACCCCCCCCCCAAGAAACCCAGGGCACCCTGGAGGCGAGCAGGGTTGGCATGGTCTCCGCTGTAAGGATGCGAGGCGGGACCCCTCCGAGCGGCGCGCCGCACAGAGGGGCGGGCGGGGCGCGGGGCCGCCCTCTCGAGATGGCGGGGGGCTCCTCCGGAAGGGTCCGTCCCCTGCGGGCCCGCGGGCCCCGCGCCTCCCGAGAAGCAGCGTGCCGTCCCGAAAAGGCACGGGGCGCACGAGGAGCACACCGGTACGATCTGCTCTCCTTGGGAGGCGTGCGCCCGACCCGAGCATGCCGTAGAACGGCCCTGCAGCAGATCGCTTCCCGAGCGGCATGGCCACCGAGCTCCCGCCACGGGGCACATACTATGAGATGTCTCGCTGCGCGCGTCGCCCTTGGGGGGGGGGGGGGGGCGACGCACACGTCATAGTATTAGTACAGTCGAGGCGTTGACCTAAGGAACCCTGAATAAGGAGCGAGGCCCCTTTTTCCCATCAGTTAAAGTTCGATTTCCCATCGAAAACCTCAGGAAAACCTAAGGCAAGCTGTGAAACAATCAAGGACCACGGAGCCCCTCCCCAACAAAAATGGTTCCTTCTTCAGCGCCCCGACTGTACTATGAGATGTCTCGCTGCGCGCGTCGCCCTGGGGGGGCGGGGGGGTCATAGTATTAGTATGTTGGGTAGCGCCGAAGGCAGGGGTGGGCCTCTTGGAAAGGATTGCCACCTTCTGAAGCCACGAGCCCCGCGCTTTCTGACAGGCAAGGGGCCCTCCTTGAAGGCCATTCTCCTGATCCGCTGGAAATCCTTTCCCTCAGCGAGCAGCATGGTTTGCCCTCAGATCTTTCCTTTTGCGTTGGCGCGCCGCCAATCATCGGGTGTGACCAAAAGTAGCCCTGGCCCAAGGTGCCCCCAGGGTTCCAGGGGTGGCCCAGACGGCCTCCAGATCACCCCCCTCGAGGCCCCGAGGGCCCCATGGGGGCTCCAGAGTGGAGCGAAAAGCCGGGGACACCATGGGCAAGGAGCACTTCTGGCAACACCCGAAATCAGGCCACCCACAGTGCTGGCTGCTGGCTGCAAACTGCACCGAACGCTCTTCGGAATCCCTACCGGCCTTGCGCATTCGGCAGGCTGACGCGCTCTCTCCTGCCCCGGGCGGCGCGCTGGCAAGGCAGGCCAGGCGGTGAGGCAACTGGCGACTGAGACCTTCAGCTCGGATGTTGCTGAATGTGCCCCTGGCCCACTTCCAGAGCGTTCTGGAACGCTCTCAGAGCGCTACGGAACGCTCTGAGAAGGCCACAACGGCCGATACATCCTCCTCAGCTGCCGGATCTCAAAGATGATCGTTCTATCTCCACCTGAATTTATCCTCGTCCTGCTTCGTCTTGCAGCCTGCCTTCTCTCTGAACTTGGGCGTCTGGGAAGGTCCATAAAGCCTGTCTCGCTGGGCTTGGGCATTTCTGGGGCTTGGTCCCAAGTCACGGGGACCCATAAAAGAGCTGCCCGCGGCGCAGCCCCAGGAACGGAAGGGGGTTGAGAGCGCCAGAGTCCCATCAGCTGACCAGATCGAGACATCGGAGGTCTGCGCATACAGATGGGGTTTATTGGAAAGGACAAGGACACACAAGAGAACACCAGACCTTTCCGAGGGCCACACGACCATAGGAATGTAGAAGACATGGGTCGCGAAACACAGGACACATGAGTACCCTTGAGTTGGCAGGGTCGACATACTTATCAACCTCGACTGCATCGCGATCATCGAAACGGGAAAATGGCACTATATCCACGGTTCCCTGTTCCAGGGTTGGTTGGGGGGCTGATCGACGAGAAAATCTCTGGCCACATCTGGACACGCAATCCCATCCTGGTCGGCTTGGTTGAGGCCCCCTTTCCGAAGACAGTGGGTGCACTGTGACAAAGAATGTTGGCCAGCGTGGGCCCAAAACATTGAGTACTTGCACAGTGGAGGTGAAATCAGAGCCGAATAGGCCCCTGCTGTGCAAGTTCATGCTGTGCGGCGTGACCTGCGTGGTGCTCCTCCTCCTTCTCCTCCTCCTCCTCCTCCTCCTCCACTTCCTCCTCCTCCTTCTCCTCCTTCTCCTCTCCTTCTCCTCCGTGCGGCGTGACCTGCGTGGTGCTCATCCTCCTCCTCCTCCACTTCCTCCTCCTCCTCCACTTCCTCCTCCTCCTCCTCCTCCTCCTCCTCCTCCTCCTGCTCCACTTCCTCCTCCCTCCTCCTCCTGCTCCACTTCCTCTCCTCCTCCTCCTCCTCCTCCTCCTCCTCCTCCTCCTCCTCCTACTCCTCATCCTCCTTCTCCTCCTCCGCCTCCTCCGTGCGGCGTGACCTGTGCGGTGCAAGCCACGCTGTGCAGGCCGTGCTGCTCACCGAGTGCAACGAGGCGCCCACGAGGCGCCCCCTCGGGGCGCCCAAGGGCGGGCTCTCCGCGAGCAGACCTCGGCGGACCCCCGCCCGGGGCACGGGGCGCCTGTAGGAGGCACCCACGCGAGGCACCCTGCGAGGCGCCCGCGGGACGCGGGCACCGGGCGAGGCTTCGGCGGACCTGGGCAGGGCACTCCGAGTTTCTTCCTTGTCCTCCTCCTCCTC